TGAAGGCAACCAGCGCACACGACGCAGGACAATGCCTCACGTGCCGCAGCTGCAAAGTATGCTGCACAGTATGGAAGCCAAAAAAAAAAAATGTCCACAAAAAATGAACAAAAATATTGGCAGCCAATGGCAAATTGTCGAAGGATTGAAAGGTCCTCGGTGCTGGTGCAAATATCGAGGTGTGGACATTGACTGCTTGTTGATGTGTGGCTGAGCTTCATTTTTTTTTCATTTTTTTGGAGGGGTGTGAGGCATTTGCCACACAAGGGAATCATGTTTGACGTTGACTGGCAATTGTGTGGCACGCAGTGGAAAAAACGCTTTTTAATTGTTGAATGTTTTGCGTTTAACCGCAGCACAAAAATTATGCAGGCGTCTGTCTGATAAATTCGCCTCGACGCAATTCAGAAATTGATAAACGCAAGACGAGTGACTGCGCCACACGTTGCACGCAGTTTCCGCAGGAAGTGTCTGTGTGTGTGGGTGTGAGTGTGTGTGCCGATACAAGCGACCAGATAACACGCTCGCAGACGTAGAGATGCAACTGCCGCCAAGCTGACTCAAAAGGCCGCTGACTTTTCAGCAATGCGATAAAGTTTTTCCCTTTTCTTTCTTATTTCTTTTTTTTTTTTGCGGCCACAGTTGCAACGTGCGGCAACATGAAAAACGGCAACTTAAGTGCGCAGCAATCTAAACGAGGCATAGTTTTAACTACTGCTCGCAGCAGGCTTAGTGCCCAGTCCCAAGTGCCAAGTGCCAAGTGCCAAGCACAGCCCGTCACTTTTTCGCTTATCAGCCGCCGTCCGATGAGTCTTCTATGTTCCCTGCCCTAGCCGCAGCCCCTCGCTGCCCCTAGGGCTGCCCCTGGTAGCCCGCTTTGAGCATTTGCGTGTGCTCGTTTCGCAGCTTCATTCAATCAGAGCGTCTGTTGGATAGAAAACCGCTACGAAATCTTTTCCCTTTTTTTTTTTAAATATGAAATGTTTTCTGATAAGCGAAACTGCGTCAAACGGCAGCGTTGCTTGTGGCATATATTTGTTTTTGGCTTTTTTAATACCCTGTAACAAAAATGGGTTAAATGGAGGTATCATAAAGTTGAGATAATGCATTTCGGTGCAGATTTTTCGATAGCCTAGGCGGTTGCCTCATACTATATATATATAGAGGAAATACACTGGCTACATATAACTCACAATTATTGCATGCATTGCATGCATGTTAATATAATAATAATAAGCAATACATCTTTCAATTATTGTATACATAATATCTAGCATCGAATCCCAGGCGCATAGAGATAAAGTGATGCCTTGGCTAGTTTTTAACATTCTCTAATATTCAAATAAAAGAAATAATTATTAAAAAATTAATGAAAGTAATACAATAATTATAATAAAAGCAAAAATAATAACACTACTATTATTAATATGAGGGGTAGTCTATCTATAAGAAAGTTAGTAGTCTATCCTTAAGATTAAATGATATGCAGCCATTTAATTTAACAAAAAGAGCCCACATTATCTAAGAACCCTATGCAATGGATTAATAACTAATGTTTTGGGACACTCAAGGCTTGGGTACATGGTATCCATAGTCGTGGTACTCCTTAATAGTTAATTTCTTACTTATTTTTTGTTCGTTTTTTGGATGATTATAACGGATACATTTTCGTATATGTGATGAAATGTAATTTAGCACATTTCTGGGAAATGTGACAAAATTGAGGAACTCTGAAAAGCTGTCGCCCGCTGCGGCCAACGCATTCGCATTCGCAGTCGCTTTTGCTTTTGCTTTGACTTTGGCTTTAATTAAAAAGTTGCGCTTTGTGCCAGGCGACAGCCAACAGCATTCAGATTCATATGCATATTCAGATTTTTATATCGCGCCTTATGTTATTAAAATAAGAGTAATTTTGTAGTTGTTGATGTTGCAGTTGTTATGATTGCTTAAAGCTGGAGCAACTCGCAGCAGCAACAGCAGCTGCTGCTGTTGGTCAAGTAAACCGAAAAGCAAATGCACTAAGCAATATTAGTATGTGAAAGATATTAACAGCATACTTGGCATTACAATATGGCCATATAAGACGTTGGCCAATGCCAGGCAAGCAACAGGAAACAATTTTTCATAGAATTCCAGTCTTTATTAGCCGCCCACTCTATACAAATGAGAAGCAACAAGAACAACAACAGCAAGGCGAATACTCGTTATAGCTATGACTATGCAGCAGAGTCTTCTGTGGCATGCTTGCATTTTTGCTTAGCGAGTGCCTTGGCCAGGACCGGGACCAGGACATGCCCTGGCATGTCTCATAAGACAATATAAAGTATGACAGCCATTTGGCAACACTTTGCAGGCCGTTAGCAGCGTCACCAAAACCTCCTTCGGGCCAAGAGCAGCCAAGCCGAGGCCAAGATAACTTTTTAAATTGTTAATGTGCGCGCTCAGACAAAAGAGCTGTCATAATTCGCAGCAAAATATTGTCACCAGCTTATGTGTAAGGACTTACATGATGCCAATTTACAACGCCTGGCAACACATTAGCCATTATGGCCATTTTAGCCAGTCTTGGCTTGCCTTTAGCCGGAAGTGCGCGCCATTTTCTAATAATGTAACGGATGTAATTAATATGTGCAATGAATGTGGCAACTCTTCAACAATTGGCTCTATGCTTATGGCCCTTATGGCCATATAATGAGAGATAATCACCGACTTGCAGAATTAACAGCATCTCAAACAAATGTCTTCGAAGCGGGAAATGAAAAAAAATAATTTCCAACAACCAAGTAGAATATACTCTTCCGGATCTTCAAACTTCCTATACTTTAGCAAGCCAGAAGTGATATTTATTATCTATGCCAGTTTGGCTGTGGTTGTCCGATTCTTGAAACAAATAAAGAAAAAACAAAAATATGTATCTTAGATTCTCAACAAGGATATATGAGGAATTCTAAATAAAATGTACCATTATGAAGCTTTGCAAGGTTAATGCTAAAAAATGCATCTCATGATTATTAACGCTAAGAATTTTATAATTTGTAAACAAATTATGGAAGAAAGGCTGACTATTCAAACTGGGCATTACAGCAATTCCGAAAACCATGCGATTATTGAAATTCCAATAAATTTTCATTTGAAATAATAGTATATTTTTCGCCCAGTGTAAGGAACAAAGCTAATCATTCTAGGAAAGCCTAGTAATTATTTTCAAATCCATTTATCATCAAGCATAGTATACAATTTCAATAAGATTTTTACGAAATAAAAACTATAAAATTTACATTGCAGTTATTTACCCTAGTCCCATAGACATTCAATATTTAATCGGTTATTTTTGTTTGAGTTAATATTGAAATCATGTCCTCTGCCACCAAAATGGATAAGGCCATGCTTGTCGAATTCAGCGCCTCCTACATGTTTTACATTGAGAAGCACAAGCTGTTGGATATCATGAGTCGCCTCTTGGCGGAAGCGACATTGCACAACATTGAGAATGTGCGTCGCTGGCTGGGCGAGAACATAAGGCACGTAGCCCAAGACATCTACACGAAGGCTATGAATGCATTTCATCTGGGTGTAGCTGGTGACTTCTATCAGCTGCCGAAGAACTTCTTTCATCGTATTGTGCTGCATGGACGAGCCGGCTCGGGCAGGCGTTCGCTGGCCCATGTGCTGGCTCAGCGCTGGAATCTGCTCATAATAGATGCTGATGTCCTAGCCTATCATCACATCAATGGATCTGTGCGGAATAAGAATGAGGAACTGCTGAATCGGGGTATAGAAAACTTAAACGTTTATGAACTTTCGGAAGCCGTTGGCAACATAATACAGGAGCGTTTGCTCAAGGAGGATGCACTGCATCGTGGCTGGATATTGTTCAACTATCCGAACAATCGCTGCGAGGCACGCGAGCTCTTCGAGGGCTTCACCGTGCCGCCCAATCGCCTGATCTTCCTTCAGATTGATGAGCAAATGGCACGCATGCGCCTGCTGATGCGTAGCTATAGGCCCAGTCCGCAGGATAACATCACCTATCTGGACTATCAGATGCATCAGTTCCGGAAGAGTGAGCCCGCGCTAAATGCCTATCTCAGCCGTCGTCGCGAGGTGCTCTATGTGGATGCCACCGAGTGCTTCGAGACTGTCAAGTGCCGCATCATGTCGCAGCTGACCAAGACGCCCTATGTCCTGGGCTACAAGTACAGCGAGAATAGCGCACTCGACTGAATGGCCTGCTGCTCCGATTACAATCTCCATTTCCACATAAATTATTAAATGTTACGCGCCACAAACTTGCCTCGAAGACTGAACAAAAAAAAACCGTGTTCAATAATTTTGTATGTCATTGCTTTGTTTATTATTTACTCAAGTGGATGCTGTGGTTGTTGTTGTTGTTATCGATGTGACGGTTATTGTCGTTGTTGTTATTGTTCCTGTGGTTGGGGATCAAAATGCTGTGCTTATCAGCTTTCTTTTGCCCGGGAACCGAAACCTCGTCTAATATTTCGAGCAGCCCCACGAAAGCGTAAACATTTTTCGTTTAGGTAAACAAAAAAAAAACCAAGAGAAAAGTGATTTGAAATTATTGCTATTTGAATTTTCCACCACTGAGAGAAAACCCAACACAATACAACAACCAAAAATGTAGAAAAAACAATAAAAAGAAAAACAAATGATTTTATGACCACAACTTAAGTGCTCAATTTTTAATTGTTTGACGACGCTGATAAGTAGCCGAGACAAAAATGGGCGACTGAAGGCGGTTGGAGGTTGTGGGCGGGGTTAGGTGGCTGCTTTTATGGCACCCAAAAGTTCAATCAAAGTTTTTTACTCCCTGTTGATTTAATGCTGCCCGCAGCTGGGCCTTGGGCGCATTTCATTAGCCTCGCAGGTTGATAACCATGACGCAATATTTGTCCCATTCCCAATGCCCCAGTGTACCATAAGCTAAATGAGGTACAAAGCTCAGAAATAATTAAAAACAACAAAAAAAACGCACATAATTGTTGAGAGCAAAAAAACTGCATTTTATTGCACCACATGGCACTCGGATTAGCATTAGCGCACCACCTTGATGTCATGAGTGAAGCAGCAGCGTTTGGAAGTGACGGGATCCTTCAGGGCCCAGCGTATGGTGTAGGATCTCAGGGGGAACTTCGCCTCAATGGGAACAGTCAGTGTGTAGGTTTGCTGAACGCCAGCCTTAATCGGACAGCTGGTCGCCTTGCAGGCCTCACGATCCATGGTAACCAAAGGCAGCTCCTCCGTTTCACTTTTTGCCCAGCCCAAGGAAGCCTCCAGACGGTCTGCATCGAACTTGGGCGTAAACTCGAAGGATATCGTGGACGGACGGCGACGGCGTATATGGCAAGCAGCGTTTTGTTCCGCCTGCGCGCACGGCTCCACCCGCACCTGATCAATGGTGCACGTATCCACACTATCCGCGCAGGGCTGGAAGTTGACAACCTCAGCGTTGGTCAGTGCAGCCAGCAGAAGCAGCAACGACAACAACCTCGTAGTGAGATGCAACATGGCGAGTTGAGTGTTGGAAACTGAATGCGCTGTTCGGATGAGCTCACAATTTGTACTTAACCCAGGCCCACGAGCTGCCTACGACGTCTTATCACCCGGTCATAGGTGAACTGTGAATTGTGAGCGTCACTGATAAGCGCTCTTATGCACGTCCTGTGGACAGATAAGACTGGACTGAGATAAGAGCTCGAGCATATGCCACTCAACTTAGCTATGTCTAAGGTAGCGTAACTAATTGCCCCAGCGACAACTCTTTATGAGCATTTAGACACGAATATATGTTTGTCGATAGGCTGACAAGCACTCAAACGTTTGTCAGAGGTACGCTACTCAACATGTATTTGAACAAGTACAGCTGAAAAAGTCGCCTTAATCTTAAGAAATACATGATCGTACTTTATTTTATCGAGTTTTAGTCAATTAAGTTTTCAAAATTATATTTTTAATGTCCCCAGTATATTTAATCTGATTTCAATAACATAACTATTTGGGCTGATCAAGGCCTTCGACTAGCATTAAAAATTGTCATAAATAATTTTTGCATTGTGACGAGTAGATACTAATTTTTTATAAGCATTTCAAACAATACTCAAGTTTGAATCCAATATATTCGATAGAGTTTCACAAGAATAAAAAGAATTCCTTGACCCGAGCTATAGTCATAAATTCTCTTATACAAAACGCTGAACAAGTTTATTTTCCGTTGCATATTAACATAAAGAAATATTGCCCTTCTATACGATTCTCATGGTTGCAAGTAAGCCATACGTATTTTCATACTTTAATTTTTATTGTCATATTAAAGAGTTTTACACCAATATAATAAAATTTCGTTCCTATATATATGTTAGTATGTATGTAGTTGGTTAGTATTGTATTAGAATTAGCGCACCACCTTGATGTCATGGGTGAAACAGCACCGTTTGGAGGTAACGGGATCCGTCAGGGCCCAACGTATGGTATAGGCACTGAGGGGGAACTTGGCCTCAACGGGCGCAGTCAGTGTGTAGGTTTGCTGAACGCCAGCCCTAACCGGGCAGGTGGTCGCCTTGCAGGCCTCACGATCCAAGGTAACCAAAGGCAGCTCCTCCGTTTCACTTTTCACCCAGCCCAAGGAGGCCTCCAGACGGTCTGCATCGAACTTGGGCGTAAACTCGAAGGATATCTTGGACGGATGGCGTCGACGTATGTGGCAGGCCGCGTTTCGTTCCGCCTGAACGCACGGTTCTACCCGCACCTGATCAATGGTGCACATATCCACAGTATCCGCGCAGGGATGAAAGTTGACAACCTCAGCGTTGGCCAGCGCGGCGAGCAGCAGCAACAGCAACGGCAGCAAAACGGTAGAGAGATGCAACATGGTGCTTTGAGTGTTGGGAACAGAATGCACTGTGGGAATGATCTCACAATTTTATACATAACCCAGGCCAACGGGCTGCATGCATATTCTTTCCGTAAGCTCATGGGTTAAATGTGAGCGTCACTGATAAGAGCTCTGATGCATGTCTCGTGGACAGATAAGACTTGACTTAGTTAAGAACTCTAACTCGTGCCTCACTCAACTAAGCTATGTATGCCCAAGGTAGCTTAACTAATTGCCCCAGCAAAAACTATTCATTAGCATTCAGACACGAATAGTTGTTTGTCAACAAGCCTACACACAATCACACTTTTACCAGAGGTACACTACTCAACATGGATTTGAACATTTTTAGCTGGAAAACATAAACATACATACATGATTTCAATATATTCTGCGATTCTCCCGATTGCAAGTAAACAGGTTTTCTTCCTTTGATATTAAGTGTTATGTTAGTAGAGTTATGTATGTGTTGTTGTATATGCATAGTTACAAATAAGAATATATTCCAAGGCAGATCAGAACTGAGCATGTTCTGGTAGCAAATGAAATCAATCTTGGACTCATTAAAAATATCGGTTTGTTGTAGAGTGTAAACAACTCTGCCTGTGTTTCCAAATAGCACATGTATCGACACGCTATCAGGCAGACTACTTGGGGCAATGTTCAGCAAGTTGAACAAATACACAGTGGGGCTCACAAACAGAAAGACAGACAGCTGGACAGACAAACAGACGAATAGTTGTCAGTCACAAGCTGCGCGCACGTCGGAAATTTGAGACGATTCCCGCGAGAGGAGTGCACTTCAATCTTGAATGCATCGACTAGAATGAAGCGCAGTTCGGAGCCTGTCAATATGCCAGGCCACGACGACAATTGCACGGCTCATTTGCGGGCACATATGTCAACAGGCGGCAATAGTAACAACGACAACAACAGCAACAATAGCAACAACATTTCTAACAAATTTGACTAAAAAGTGACAACATTTCAGAAAAGAACCCGACCCCGACACGCTTTAACAACACTTACGACTCGATGTCGCAATTTGATGCTATATTTTTATCATGCCCAAAGGAGGCAATTAAATGGGAAAAATATATCACATTCATTTTCGGATGCAAAACATGTTTTTTAGCGCTAAAATACAAACAAGTTTCTCTCTTTCTCTCTCAAACAAAAAAAAAATCAACAAAAATTGATAGAAAAGTTTTGCGGCGAGCGCATAATTAACAGTCGTTCAGTCAAAGTTTGATGAAAACACGTTTTCCGCTTTCCTCTGCGCTTTATATAAATTTTTTTATAATATTTTTCGCATAAATTATAAAATTTTTAACATTTTCCCTTTTCCCGTTGCGTCGCGCTGGCCTTTTTATCGCCAACGACTTTGCGCCTTTATCAAAGTCCACTGAACGGTGAATCAACAAAACCGAAAAAAAGCATATCCAAAACAGAATTAATTCATTAAAAAAATATGCAAAGCATTAAAAAAAAAATTACCAAGAACTCGTTGATGGGGTGCCAAAGAACAAAATACAAAAACAAAACAGAAAACTGGAAAAAAATGAAATTTATGTTTTATTACTTAATGAACTTACCGCAAATTAAGCCAAGGGTGGACCAAAAGAACACAGCCGAGTCCAAGTTAGCGGCCGACGCCTTGTCTTCAATTAATATGCAAAAAATGTCAACACCAACGGCTGCTGCTCATCAAGTTCTTGAGCCGCGGGAAAGTGTGTCCGGCCGTTGTGTGATGTGATGAAAGCAAATTGGTTGGCAATTAATGACAAGTTCTTTTAATTGAACACGTGATGAAGGCGCTGGCCAAGGCGTGAAAAGGGTTAATCAAGTGTAGCATATTACTGTCTTTCAAATACAAAACAAATTTTGTCAAACAGATCGATCTTAAACCAAGAATACACCAAATACACGTAAATATGATCCCAGACACCAACGACTGCTTTCAAGTTAAAACGCTCATTTAAATGTAAGCTACATTGCATTGCAACTACTTTGTCAGAGATAGCTATAAAAAACCTCATAAGCCACATTTGAACGAGCATTACATATCCCTTGTAGAAAGATTTATAATTTTGTCATGATATATGCAACGCTTTTTGTGAAAAAGACTCCGATCTCTCCGATCCCAACTTATCCCTTAACCTAAAAGCTATCAAGATGAATCTTTGCATATGACTTTAAATTGACGGAGCTATTGTTTATCGCCCAACAAAAAAGTGTCTGAGTTAGGAATGCCTGACTAACATATACTCTCAACGTAGTTGCTCTGATTCTCAGCAATGATTAAGGTGTCATTCGAGTTTTCGCGGGCACATTAAGAAAATCTTATATTAAATAGCATTTCAAACAATATAGAACTCTGTCAACTATGTGAACTTCTAGCAAAGACTTGCTAAAGCCAAAAGCTAGCCATCATTTGCGGACCAAATGTAGCTTGTGATTTGCTTAGATTTAGACGATGCTTCTTTCGAACTGGTAAACACGCCCCGGCTCTAATGGAGGGCAGCGAAGTTGGGCAAATCACCTCAAGCGCCATAAAAAGGCAAATGAAATAAAAGCAAAAGCCGCTGCCAGCAGACAAAACGAAAAAATAATGAGTACTCGGATGGAGCAGCCAGCCCAGCGGTTGAGTACACTCGTATCGTGAAGATTTTTATTTCTTGGAATAATCTGGGAGCGAGCACACGACTAATCTTCATTTAATTTCATTTGCGCCAGCGACTGAAATTGAAACCGAAATCGCAATCGCAGGGAAGTCGGAGATGTAGCTGGGAGTCAGGGTCGAGATACCTTGGTGAGAGCAACGGGCATTGCCAGTGACTGGCAAGGACAATGTAAGGACATTGGCAGACTGTAGCTGAGACGGGAACAGAGACAGAGCCAATTGGTATCGGGCGGGGTAGAGGACATCTGCAACATTTCATTGGCTGTGGCAACGTTGGCGGCGTCAAGGAGATCAAAAGTATGCGACACCGTGGCTTAATTCGATTTTAACAATTGCATGGCAGCTCGCACAGCCAATGGCAATAGCCCAGCGACGCCTCCACCCCCGCCAGTGGACTCTAATTGAACGCCACCGAGGGAAGGCAGCGCCCGAAAAACCGAGACGGAGACGGAGACGTAGACGGAGCCAGAGCTGCTCCTGCTTGGCGCACATAAAATTAATCCGACGTGTGGCGCCGGCAGCTTCGTCAGCGTCTTGAACAATTTGAATTTAAATGTCGCCTTGCTTTTATTTCGATTTTTATTTGTGCTCTTAAGCTAAATACAAAAAAAAAAAAAATAACAGATATAAAACAAAATAAAAAAAGCACGAGCAGTGCCAAGGAACCTTTGCGAATTGAATTAAAAGTGTAACTGAACGTGTCCTTGTCCTTGTCTGGCACGTGCTCCGCACTGGGCTCTGGGCTCTTGCCAATGGCTTAGGTGTCGGTTTTGTGCCTCCACTCATGCTCAATTCCTCAAGTCTTTCCCCCCGGCTACAACCCGCACAATCTACGCATCTATTGAGAGTTTTATTGCTTGGAATAATTAGCTGAATTAAGCACACAAATTAATTGGCGCCGTCAACGGAGCATATGTGGAAAAAAAATAACCAGCAGCCACAATCGAGCTAAAGAATTTGGCAGATACGAGCCAAGCTGATT